TACAAAATGATCCTCCATTTAAATCCCCCTTTTTGTTTACTTTTGTCCAAGATGGGTATTCCATTGCCATTAAAATATTGTAGGTTATTTCAGCAAAATAATCTAATACAGTCCAGTGGACCATAATAGTAGTGGATTACTCACAGAACTGTCAATGCCATAAGATGTTGACTTGAGCCTTTTACAGCTCAACATATTAATAAGGCTTTACTTTTTATACTTTGTAGTTGTTCTTTTCTGCTGAATGGTTAAGGCTAAGATAAAGTAAGACCGACATAACTAAAAATGCAGATTTTGCATCTGACAAGGTCAGTCAAATCCCCTCAGGATTTACCCTGAAGCCTTGTACTGCACTTTGTAGAACTTTTGTCAGTATCTGCTGTCCGGATGAGTGATGGCCATTGCTTGACCAATTTGCTCTCTGTGAAAGCCTGAGAGAATGTTTTCTCTGCATGTGATTCTCCTTATGCACACTCTACATTGCCAATTACTTTCCTCTGTGGTCCCCAAATATCCTTGATCTGAAAATTTGGGACACCACTCAGTTACAGGATATTATAGTACAGGTTCTCTTGTGTCCTGAATTCTCACTGACCTTGAAGAAGCCCACATTTTCAATGGATTCAATTCAAAGTTTATGTGGTTCCAGTGCAGAAACCAGATGGAAGGACATCAAGTCAGAAGAAACTTGATCACTTAATTGCGGGCAGGAAACAAAAACGAAAAAGAGAAGCCAGGCACAAGGTACGTATTTTCGCATTTGTTTTGTTTTGCTTTGTTTTTGTGTGTTTCATTTTTGGGAGGTTTTTTAGTTTGTTCTTTTATTTGATACAAGCTCTCACTATGTAGGTGCAGGCTGGCTTTGAACTCACTTATGCAGTGCAGGCTAGCCTTGATCTCAAGGTCATCCTGGTTCAGCCCTCCAAGTACTGAGATTACAGGCATGTACTACCATCTTTCCACATCTTCACAACAAAAAATATTTAAGAGGTGTTATGTATATGTACCAGTTCACCATGATCAATGTAAGGAAATGTCCAAGTAATGCCAAATACTACAAATAAGCACATGCACTAATAAAATTAAACAAAAAATATTTATTCCATCACTGAAATAATGTTTCTTTTCAAATTTCTCTATGTTTATCTTCCATCCTACACAAGTAGCATTGGAAGTTTGTATGCATTTTCTCCGTTTAGCATCTGTATTCCCCTTGCTTACCTGTCACCAAATGGAAAGAGAGAATATTGAGTTGCTGGGGTAACATAAACTCCAATAGGCCAAATAGTGACACTTTGTAAAATCAAATTCAATGAATATGAGACATCAAGTACTGAATAATGAGAGTTTACATTATTGAAGACCATTCACTTTGATATAGAAACAGCTTTTGTTGTGACTTGTTGTGATGGAGTAGGAAGCATATGAACAATACTTTTCAAGTGGCTAAAATAAGAATTAACAAGAAGAGAACAGAAGAGCTGGCCAAATACCTTAGTGGATTAAAGCACCTGCAAGCAGACACAGGGGCCAGGGGCTAGATCCCTGAGCCTAGTGTGCTGGCTCCTGCCCCGGCGACACTGAGGGGGCAATTGAGACTGGGTTTGGTGGCACACACCTGTAATCCCAGCTCTTGCGAGGCTGTAAACAGGAGAATCACTATGAGTCCGATCTAGTAGTGAAACCCTGAACACCCTGTAGACCATTTCTTGAAATATGGAAAAAAACAAAACAAAACAGAAAACAGACCATACAGTAGTAAAGTCTCAGAGCACTAAATATATTTTCCCGTCTTGTATGGAAGTGTCTGAAAAACCACATAGAGGAGTTCTTTAAGTCTTTTATTTATTAGTTAACTTTATAATCATTGTATTTAACATATATTTCAAATTATTTATTGCTGGTCACTTTTTCACTGGGATTACTAGGACCCTTTCCTTTTCCTCAAAAGCAGCCTAGGGCTGGCCAAATAACCCAGCAATAAAGAGCCTGCAAACAGGCGCAGGGGCTGGGGTTCGATCCCTGGACCTGCTTGGTTGGCCTCACCCACGGTTTGCACTAAGAGGGCAATTGAAATGGGGTGTGGTGATGCACACCTGTAATCCCAGCTTTTGGGAGGCTGTAAACAGGATAATCACTACAAGTCTGATATAGTAGTGGGACCTTGAACACTCTGTAGACCCTTACCTAAAATACAAAATGAGAATAAAGCAGTCTAAAAGAAAACCTCAATTGAAAACAATAAAGTTCATTTTATTAATATGTGTCACCAAATTTTCACATTTTATCACATATCTGGGTCTCAGCACATGTACCCAGAAAACTAGATGGGATGAATGGTTGACAACATTTTTCCATCTTCATGCTACCTTCATTTTTTTTTTTTTTTTTTTTTTTTTTT